ACACAAGGTGAGCATTACAACTTCACGGAAGATCGGAGTACCCCCTCCGTTAGTCGGCAGTTCGGGCGCAGTGTGCAAGAGGACCTCAGCGATCAGCAATTTTCGCAGAAACACTTCGCCACAGTTAGAATGTACTTGTACCAGCTCCAGACGCCGTTGAAATTTGTTCAGAACGCTAGGGTGTCGCTTAATTTAACCCTAGCCTCTATTCTGACTTTGTCCGTTCCTTGGACCAGGGCCTTACAGACTTTCCGTCGTGTGCTGCAAAGCATGAGTTTCCCCACACCACACGGATCCCATCCGACTGTTCACCGGCCTCAACGGCTAGGCGACTCTTCGGATCTGGCTGACGTCCGCCAGGTGATCCTTGACTCTTCATCCATCGTCCGCCAGGTCAGTACCGTAGACCTAGGCGTCTAAATCGTATGGGTTTACTTCTTCCAGGCTCATCCTATCTCCGGCTGGTCCTGGTTTAGGGTGGCGCCGAACTTGAATATCTCTAAACTACACAAGCGCGTGGGCGTCGCCCAGAACCTTCATCACGAGGAACTGGCCATGAATTGTGGAGCGAATCCCAGTTCTTGATGGGGGTGTGGGCATTTCGAATGGTATGGATGAATATGTTAGATTATCGGACCATACTTGAACTTTGTATAGGTGAAAATTTGCCAATTAACTACCATCATTTAATTTTAGCCAATCACAGCTAATAACAATTGAATATTTAGCCAATAGGACACTGTAGGTGTAGGTGAGTCACCTAAACCACCCAATCGGGCGTATCAGGTCCGATGAACTCCTAGAATATGTGTGTGTTCATTCAATTGTCAAGTGTTAGGCATATCACTTTCATATTTCTCTTTATCGGACCATCACGATGGGTTTGGAGGAGCTGCAGCCCGGCAACACATTGCGTGCCAAGGCAACTGCTGTCGCAGCATTCTCCAAGTTTTTGAAGGGTGAGGAAGTTGAAGAGGAATTTGTACGAAAATGTATTGAGGCAGATGAAAGTGGCTAGAGCTTTGTATGTGTCATGGATAAGTTTGGAATGTATCTTGCGTTTAGTGAAGGAAAGAAGGGCAAACTGCTAGCGCGAAACACTGCAATGCAGTACTATCGCCAAGCAAAGATTTGGCTCCTAGAGCAATTTCCTCAGCACCGAGCGTCACTGGAATCGCGGCTGCTTAAAATGGGGAAAACCCTAGATAGCTTTTGTTTGAAAAGAGACGGTGGTGGCTTCGTAACAAAAGCTCCACCATGTACGAAGGCTGACTTGAAAAAAATGATGGTATATTTGT